GAAAATATAAGCAGAAATCACAATTCCTATTCCCCAGAAATCCATTCAGTTGCTCAAGTACTGCAACTTTATTCTTATGACTCCCTCTTCTCATCCAAGCAGGCCTTTCCAAGAGTGTGAATCTTGTCAGAAATCAGGGATATTGTTGCACAGTGGAATTCAACCCGTCAATGAGCATCACGATACAGCCTACCAAATCTCCTCTCACGGGGATGGGAACCAAGGAAAATCCAGCCTGAGAGGTTTTACTCATACAGGAAATCCCCTGTCTTACTCCTCCACTTGAACCGCATAGTTTAAGAGAGAATTTCCAGTCAGGGAACATTGCCCTTTGCGGAAGAAGTTGGGTGGTTCTCAATGCTATCTCCTGTTTTCCCAGAAAGCCACCGGTCTTCTTCAGCTACAGAACTCCTGGTAAACTTTTCCTTTCCATGTGTACTCAGGAGCTTGCCTTCGGCAGGAGAGAGCTTAGCGAGGGGCTGCTTTACTCAGATATTTTCCTAACTTTCACTATGATTCAGAATAAGAACCAAATAGCTCTTCCATTGTGATCTTGGGTTGGCAGCTGGTGGCAATGCCAAGCCATTGCTTACTAAACTCTGCAAAGCTTTCGGTGTGCTTTTGTGAGAGACTCTCCTGTGGCCTCAGTGGCCTGGACGGCAAGAAGAGACAGCTACAGAAACACAAGAGTACGTGTCCAGGGCACACTTTGATTGTGAGTGGCATTATGACAATATTCTCTGACTCACTGAATATTTGGTATATGAGGAAATAACTTGGCTCCTGGAATACAAATTTAGAATTGGTGCAATTTTATGGGGATTATACTAAGGGTTGTTGGGATTAAATGTCTATTGGGAGATTTATCTTGATACATATTGTCCAAAAGAAATCATTCATGAATGTTTCTCTTTGCCTTTGGGAAAAATCAAATATGTTTTTTGGGTTGGCCATTATATATCATAAGAGAATATCACAATTAAGAAATTTTAAAAACAGAAACTTAGTAGAAAATTATACTTAATGAGATTTTTTTTCTCTTCATATTTATTCATGATATACTAGAGGGCTTCAAAAAATTTGTGGGAAAATTCCACCATCTTATTCTTCATTTTTATCATGAATTTTTGAAGCCTCTTCTATGGTTTTGTGATAAATATTTTGCCACACATCAAAGGAAAACATAGTATCTTGTTGCCAATCTAGCTCATGGGTCTGATTTCCCTATTTCCACATCTCTTCCAGCCACTGAGAGTCAATGCTACAATCCCAAACTCACTGCCATTGAGTTGATTCTGACTCATAGTGACTGTATCAGATTAGCTTTGCTCCTCGAGGTTTCTAAAATCACAAATCTTTGTAGGAACAGACAGCCTGAACTTTTCCCCACAGAGTAGCTGGTGGGTTCGAACCTCATCCTTTAAGAGAGTAGCCCAATGCTTTCACCCATAGTGCTACCAGGACACCTAAAGTGAAAGAAAGAAAGAAAGGAAGGAAGAAAGGAAGGAAGGAAGGAAGGAAAGAAAGAAAGAAAAGAAAAAACATTTTCTATTAACCAAACCAAACTCAGTGTCATCAATATACCACAAATCCTTCTTGTTCATTGATCTCTCCAACCCCCACCCCTGCCACTTCATTTTCCAAATCTGGTAGGTTCTACAATTCCTTATATCTCAAAATGGAATATTATAGTGATCACCTAATTAATGTCATGTCCTACTCTAATCCATTCTATCCACCACTAATTTCTCTGCTAGAATCCTCTATCCAAATTCTTCATTTAGTGCCTCATGAGCTGTAGAAACTCCTAACCAAACATGGGACCTTACCAATATGGAGAACGTATGTTTTCAGTTTTATTCCCTACTGCTCCTCTGCTTGAATCTGGTCCCTGTGATACTAAATCATAACCACTTCACCCTGTAGTTAATGACTCTGCTCCTCTGCTAGTTGCTCAGTCTGGGAAAATCATCCAGCACCCCAGCCACTTTCCCCAGGAAATCTTCGAAGATCATCTTGACTAGGTGTACCCTCGCTCTTGAATTTCTACAAGACGGTTAGGTCCTTATGTCCTCCTTGGCCTCACCAAGATGCCATCGTTTGAGGGTTGAGGACATGTGTTACTCATGTCTGAAGCCACTGCATACAGAGCTCAGTGCATTTCTAAACTATTCAGTCTCGGTATAAAGAAGACCGTGTTTATTAAGTTGAAATGCCTTGAGTTAGGTACCACTGAGACCGGTCCAACTCATAGCGACCGCAGCTACAACAACAGAAGGAAGCTGCCTGCTCCTGGGCTCTCCTCACAGGGCGGCTATGTTTGAGCCCATTGTTGCAGTCACTCCGCCAATGCGTCTCATTGAGGGTCTTCCTCTTGTCCACGGACTCCGCTTCACCAAGCATGGCATCCTCTCCAAGGCCTGGTCTCTTCTGATAGCATGGCCAAAGTATGTGAGATAAGGTCTCACCATCCTTGCCTTTGAAGTACATTCTGGCTGCACAGCTCTTAAGACAGATTGGCCTTGGACGTGGTTCCCACTATTGCATTCTTTAGTATGCTACTCACAACCCCTCTTAGAAACAACGGCCGAGCCCACTGTCATCAAGTCGATTCCTGACATACAGCAATCTTATATAAATTTACAGAGCCTTTTGAGACTGTTTTATATAAATTTACAGAGCCTTTTGAGACTGTAAATTTTTACAGGCACAGATAGCCTCCTCTTTCTCCCCTGGAGTGGCTAGTAAGTTTGAACTGCCAACCTTGTGGTTAGTTGCTCAACACCTAACCCTGGGCCACTGCCCCAAACTACACACTGCTTTTTGAATCTTTCAGTCTGTTATTTAAAGCACTCTGAGCTCTCTTTCAATAGTAGCACTTTAGTGGTTATTTGAAAATAAATAATATTTTCTGTTATATTTAGAACTATTTTAAGTACTGTTTCTCTGATATAGTTTTCTTTAAAGTGAAAATACTTTAGAGACAGGATAAACTTTGTTATTACTGCTAGTTATGCTAAGTCTGAAACTCAATTACAATGTACAATTTTGATGGTTCTTTTTGGGGGTGGGGGGAGCATGGGGTTGGGTAGAACTAAGTAATGGAATTCCCAGCCCAAAACACCTGAAGGAGGAGGAGGAGGATGAACTTTCTTATCTAACATAGCCGGAAGTAGAGAGCTCTTCAGCATTAATAAATTCAGTGTCTCAATGACATTACATAGACCCATTTCCCCCCATCCCTTTGCTCTGCAGCCCAGTCTCTCCTTCCTATGACACACTCCTCTGGGCCTCACCACTAGTGATAGCTGGGGCTACATGCTTTCATCTTTACAACTAGGAGAGGATGCAAGGGGCCTATCTCCTACCCGTGGGATAAAAGCCTCCCCCTTCACTCTGACGGGCCACTTTAGGACAACTGCCCACTCCAAAAAGAAATCATTGCCTCCAGGAAAATACTAGGTACCAATTGGTTCGGTCATAGGTTTCTGGAATAAATTACTAAACAGAAGGATAGGATTCCTATGGTTGGCTTAGACTAGGACCAACCTAGGGGAAGAAGAAAAAGTTACAAACAGAATTTCTGTATAAAACAAGGGAGAGAGGAAATGGATACGCCAATGAGTCATAATTGTAAATGTGAAGCTTCATAACTTCTCAAACATTGAGGCCACTGGCTTCTAAATCAAGAAACTACAAATTTTCAGGTATTTCAGAGACATCAAAATCTTGGTGGAAAAAAATCCATTATCTTTTAATTCCATTTTTCCATGAACTTTTTATGAGGAGGTTAGTCCTCCTCATAAAATTTTTAAAGGATTTGTCCATTCCTGGGGTACAAGTTTATTGCACATAGTACCAATATGTCTCCAACGCACATATGTCACCACTGGAGAAAAGAGACATGTTCAATATGGACTGTAAGTCTGATAGGGTGGAGATGAGTGGGAACTGACTTGTGGCAGTGAGGTTAGAGTGAGCTCCATAAAGGGAGGACCGAGTCTGACTTTATCAGGACCCTGCTCCTGGTGACTAGGCGAGGGTCTCCATCAGGTCAGATGTTGGAAAATATTTGCTCCCTAAACAAATAAGCGTCAAATGAGCAAATAACCTCAGTAAATGATGAACACGTGTACTAAATGATGACCGCAGGCACTGACACAGGGCCAAACCCAACCCAACCCACTGCTGTCCAGGCAACGGTGACTCATCGCGACCCTACAGGACAGGTAAGACTGTTCCTGTGAGTTTCCGAAACTGTAACTCTTTAAGGGAGTAGAAAGCCCCTGTCTTTCTCCCACAGGGCGGCTGGTGGTTTCAAACTGCTGACCTTGCAGCCAGCAGCCCAGTGTGTAACCATTACACACAACAGGGCATCCCACGAAAAACAAACAACTCGACATGGTGTCCAAGGAAAGCACTTTGCCAAAATACACATCTCGAAGGTGCTCGGTAACCCTGGCCAACATACATGATAACACTATATTTAAAGAAATAGCAGACTTCCATCCTAACGAATTTTGAGGTGCTTTGCAGCCCCAAAGTTTCCATGTTTGAACACACCCGGAGGGTGTGCAGGAGGCAAAGTGGCAGCCTCTGCTGTAAGACTGCAGTCCAGCAAAACCCATGGGCTGCTTCACTCTGCTTCCATGGGCCTGCTAGAAATGGAGGTCAATAGGATGGCACCAACAACAATAAGGACAATTTTCAGTTTTAAAGAGGTGGAATTCAAACGACTTCTGATTTTCCTTCTGTGAAAGCTGAGCACTTGAGCCCTAAGTCCGGTTTTTTGTCTCGTGGCTACGGGGACACTCTCTCAGCGTCTATCAGAGGCCACTTCAGACATTCCCACAAAGGAGCCACACGGTGTGACTGACAAACTGAGGCCTCCTAGATGTCCCTGGAGATTGACAGTCAATAAGAAGGGGATTAGGCCCAAGCGCGAGCCATCATCTTCCTGCAGGCTCCTTGGATAAATGTGGCCCAGCTCTCTCACTGACCTTCCGGGACACTGGTACTTCCCGTAGCCAAATGCCAAGAAGTTGTCCAAGAAAGCATGCTTCTCTAAATTTGCCTTTTTCCATCGTTCCTGTGGGAAGAAAGCAGGTTTTTTCTTTTCCCCCAAATCAGTCTTATATAAATAAGCTTAGCTTTATTTCTCTAGGCTAAAAATGACCTTGTACAGCTAATCCTTGCGTATAAAGTTGCAGCATTGTAGAGAGCTTCCCCGCCCCCCAAAACCTGTTATTAATATCAGACACAATTATGCTTTTGGAACAGGCATTTATAAATAAAAAAGGCTTAGAAAGAATTTCGTTAAGTGGCAAAGGTAAATGGTAATATAAATCAACCACACAATTGACCTACACAGTGGAGGACTATTTATACGATGGGCTCGGGGGCTCTATCATAGAAGTGGTAATAAGTAAGCTCAGCAACAAAACACTGACAGGCCACTTTGCTGGAGAAGCTCAGGGTGCAGAGTGAGTCCATGTGGGTGACATTTTTGACCATTTCACCTACAGGCAGCGAACCCACTCACTGACCTGACGATTCAATTCAGCCCTGTGAGTCAACAGTTCTAAGAAATGGCACCGCAGAATGTTCATTTGCTTTATTGTTTGGGGGTTTGTTTGTTTGTTTAACTCCTTGGAAACCAGTATTAGAAGCGATTCCCCGAGGAGCGTGACATTACGCTTCTCTCCGGACTAGGCGTACTTGCTTTAACTGGGTTCCCTCGTTGCATATGCATTTTCATTTTAAACAAGAGGAAACTCACCCGAGAAGCTTTTCTGCATTAGTGATCTAAGCTCCATTTTGTAACCAACTTGGTTCGTAGTTACCGGAGAAACAGTGTTGCTTAATGGTGCAGCCTCATCAACTCATGCTTTCATGCTGCCAGCTTAGAATGACATTACAACCCAAGGAGAAGGCACATTGGAAGAGAGAACTTACAGGTTTGAACGAGTCGGGTTCAGGAAAATACTCTGGATTTCTATGGAGCCAGAAGGGAGACAACATCAGCAAGTCACCCGGAGGAACAGTGTAATTCTAAGTGAGAAAATAGATTCCGTGTCACTTAAAAAAAATCTTATTTAAAGGGAGGTTGGCATTAAAAGTCATGCGACAACTACGGGCTGGTAAAGGCAAATGCATTCTGTAACTGATGGTGAGACAACCCAACCCTTTCCCGGACTGGTCATTTCTACACGCCGCCTTAGGTAAAGGCTGCTTTCTAATGCCAATCGCTGGTTTCCTATGTGTATTTATTTGGTTAAGACCATTTCTGCGGAGTGCACTCCACCTCACAGTGACCCTACAGGAAAGGGTGGATGTGCGTGCCCCCACTGAGGGTTTCCCAGGCAATGATCTTTATGGAAGCCGCCTGCCACAACTTTCTCCTGTGGAGCAGCCTGGGGTTCGAAGTGCTCAACCTTTGGTTAGAAGCCGAGCATTTAAGCATCGCACCACAAGGGCTCTTTATATATTTGACTACATGGGGGTAGGCTTGGTTGGGGGGATATCAGGAAGAGCTACAGTTTCGGATCAACATGTTCTTTTGGGGTGTCATCAAGTCTATTTCAACTCATAGCAACCCCGTGTGACAGAGTAGAAATACGTTAACTGTTCCACAGGGTTTCTGGGCTGTTATCACGATACAGGGGCACATCTCCAGCTGTTTCTCCAGTATAGCCAATGGGTTGGTTTGAACCACCAACCTTTGGCTTAGCAACTAAGGCCCATCAGGGCTTCTCTGAACCTAGTATAAGCGAACTTAGATGTAGTTTCTGTTATGTGATTTGGGGGTTTGCAATACATGCCCCAGATGATGGAAACCACAGTAGGTCCCAGATTGGGAGCACTAAGGATGACTTTTTCCCCCCCTTTTTATTGTATAATCATTTATGAATAATTTCCCCTCAAGTCATGGTTAGCCTTAGTACTTTGCTTATTAGCTACATGAGTTCTTTAAATGTTGAAATTACCTACCCGGATGTTTTAATCATAGATTTCCCACCCACCTCCCTTAATTTCTGGCATACATTTTAGTTACACGTCTAAAATAAAACATGCCAAATTTTTGATATGCTATAGTCAAATGTGTCCACTTTCCTGTGGTTTCATTAACTACTTGGTTCTAAACATAGGACCAGCTGGCAAAATGGATTAAACATTTGGCTGCTAACTGCAAGGCCTGAAGTTCAAACTCAGAAGCTGTCTGCTTCCGTACAGATTACAGCCCTAGAAGCTCTAAGGAGCAGTTGTACTGTGTCCGACAGAGCTGCTTCACATTGGAATTGACTTGAGAACAGTAGGCAAATATAGACGGCCCTCTGCCCCCTCTAACCCAGCAGTTCCCACTAAAAAGTCTAAAGCTTTTTCCAGAGGCCACAAGGTCAAAATCTTTCCTGGGTGAAAGATCTAGTCATAGTATAAGATAGACCAAGGGATTTTAATGAAACGGAGTACAAAATCTTTCTTCATATATTTTTAGATTCCATGTTGTTACAAGTCTTCAAGAAATGACTAATTGTTGCATTTTTAGTGTAGTATCAAGAATAATCACAAATATATGAAAAGGCTTTAAAGTCTGCTACTCTGCAACTGTACATCTGTGTGAGGCTAGGTTTTCTGCATATTCCCCAAATAAGACAACCCATCATAACAAACTGACTGAACTACATGCATGAGAATCCAGATACCTTTTATTAAATTCATTCAATAGTTTCAGGAATTTAAAATAATGCTAGTCTGTATTGTTTTTGTTTTGGAAAATGGACCTATCTTCAGAAAACTCTACTATTTATATTAATATAAAACATGTTTATTGTTCATTTTGAATGAATTAATAATTACTAAATAAAGTAATAATTAGTTTATCAATTCTAAGTTTTAATTTCGAAAACTAGATATCGATAGATGTAATGTTTATACACCAAAGCCCTTTGGGGTCCTCGATAAGTCAGAAGAGTCAAGAGGTTGCTTGCATCAGAATATCTGAAAATCACTATTCTAGAAATTTTAAAAAATTGGTCATCCCAAAGCGTATATTCTCATCCCTCTTAATTGGTCCATAATTATTTATTCTGTACTAAATTCTTACATACAAATGGGCTTGTTTCTTTGCTACCTATCCTATCTATTCAGTTTTTCTGAAAGTCTGGTCTGACACTGTACTATGCTAATTGTTGTCATTTCATAACATGGCGTAATACCTTGAGAAGATAATTAATCCTCCCTTATTAGTCTTCTTTTTCAACATCTGTTATTTTTATTTTCTGATGGTGTTCTTGCAAATTAACCTTATACCAATGTCCCTGGTCTCTCTGACGGTAGGTTTGGCTTGGGTTTTGTCTTCTTCCGACGGCATGAGTCAAGGACAGTGGGAGAATGCTTTTACCATTCACTGTAAGAAACTTGGACCAGTCGTCCAATGGGAAAGAGCACGCTGGACTCTTTCACTATTCATGACTTTATGTAACATGTTCTTTATAATCCTACTGGCTGGGAATATATCTGTACTTTAGTTCAGTATAGAGAGTTTACCTGTTTGGCAACATACGCACAAATGTGCTTGACCCAATGGATGGATGGATGGATGGATGGATGGATGGA